CCAGCCTCTCCCCCCAGTGTCCCCAGCGTGCCCCCAGCTTTCCCCAGCTGTCCCCAGCGTGTCCCCAGCGTGTCCCCAGCCTGTCCCCAGCCTGTCCCCAGCGTGTCCCCAGCTGTCCCCTGTGTCCCCAGATGAAGAACGCTGATTACTTCTCCAACTACGTCACGGAGGATTTCACCACCTACATCAACCGCAAGCGCAAGAGCACCTGCCACGGGAACCACATCGAGATGCAGGCCATGGCCGAGATGTACAACTGGCCTGAGGGGGGCTACCAGTACGGCACTGGTGTGTGAGCCTGGGGCACTGGGGAGGGGTCCCCTGGGCACTGGGGAGGGGTCTCTGAGAGGCCACGGGAACCACATCGAGATGCAGGCCATGGCCGAGATGTACAACTGGCCTGAGGGGGGCTACCAGTACGGCACTGGTGTGTGAGCCTGGGGCACTGGGGAGGGGTCCCGTGGACACTGGGGCACTGGGGAGGGGTCCCACGGGCACTGGGAGCACTGGGGAGGGGTCCCATGGGCACTGGGAGCACTGGGGAGGGGTCCCATGGGCACTGGGAGCACTGGGGAGGGGTCCCATGGGCACTGGGAGCACTGGGGAGGGGTCCCATGGGCACTGGGGAGGGGTCTCTGAGAGCCACAGGAACCACATCGAGGTGCAGGCCATGGCTGAGATGTACAACCAGCCCGGGGGGGGCTACCAGTACGGCACTAGTGCGTGCCACTGGGGCACTGGGAGCACTGGGGAGGGGTCCCATGGGCACTGGGAGCACTGGGGAGGGGTCCCACGGGCACTGGGGTTAATGGGGAGGGGTCCCTGATGGGTGACAGGGGTCACTTGGGCACTGGGATCAATGGGGAGGGGTCCCCTGGGCACTGGGGACAGTGGAAAAGGGTCCCAGGTATCGTTTTGGGGGTCCCAGGTGCTGTTTTGTGCATCCCAGCTGGTTTTTGGGGGGTCCCAGGTGCCATTTGGGGGTCCCAGTTGGATTTTCGGGGGGTCCTATTTGTTTTTTTGAGGGTCCCAGCTGGATTTTTTTGGATCTCATCTGGATTTTTGGGGATCCCATCTGGATTTTCGAGGATCCCATTTGTTTTTTTGGGGATCCCACCTGTTTTTTCAGGGATCCCATGTGTGTTTTGGGGTCCCATCTGTGTTTTGGGGTGCCATGTGTGTTTTGGGATCCCAGCTGTTTTTGTGATGATCCCGTGTGTGTTTTGGGGTGCCATGTATATTTTGGGGTGCCACATCTGTGTTTTGGGGTCTCAGCTGTTTTTGTGAGGATCCCATGTGGGTTTTGGGGTCCCATCTGTGTTTTGGGGTGCAATCTGTGTTTTCAGATCCCAGCTGTTTTTGTGATGATCCCACGTGGATTTTGGGGTCCCATCTGTATTTTTGGGGTCCCATCAGGGTTTGGGGTCCCAGCTGCTTTTATGATGATCCCACGTGTGTTTTGGGGTGCCCTGTGTGTTTTGGGGTCCCAGTTTTTATAAGGATCCCATGTGGATTTTGGGGTCCCATCTGTATTTTGGGATTTCAGCTGTTTTTGTGATTATCCCATGTGGATTTTGGGGTCCCATCTGTATTTTTGGGGTCCCATCAGGGTTTGGGGTCCCAGCTGCTTTTATGATGATCCCACGTGTGTTTTGGGGTGCCCTGTGTGTTTTGGGGTCCCAGTTTTTATAAGGATCCCATGTGGATTTTGGGGTCCCATCTGTATTTTGGGATGCCATCCTTATTTTGGGGTCCCAGCTGTTTTTGTGATGATCCCATGTGTGTTTTTGGGGTGCCCGGTGTATTTTTGGGGTCCCACCAGGGTTTTGGGGTCCCAGCCGTTTCTGTGATGATCCCACGTGTGTTTTGGGGTGCCCTGTGTGTTTTTGGGGTGCCATCAGGGTTTGGGGTCCCAGCTGTTTCTGTGATGATCCCATGTGTGTTTTGGGGTCCCATGTGTATTTTTGGGGTCCCATCAGCGTTTTGGGGTCCCAGCCGTTTCTGTGATGATCCCACGTGTGTTTTGGGGTGCCCTGTGTGTTTTTGGGGTGCGCAGAGCCCATCAACACGTTCCACGGGATCCAGCACAACGAGGACGAGCCCATCCGGGTCAGCTACCACCGCAACATCCACTACAACTCCGTGGTGAACCCCAACAAGGCCACCATCGGCGTGGGGCTGGGGCTGCCCTCCTTCAAACCGGGGGTACGCGCGGGGGACCCCGAGATGGGGGTCTAGGGACCTTGATTTGGGGGGTGGAGCCCTGAGTTTGGGGGGTGGGACCCCGAGTTTGGGGTCTGGGACCGAGAGTTTGGGGTCTGGGACCGAGAGTTTGGGGTCTGGGACCTCGAGTTTGGGGGGTGAGGATTCTGATTTGGGGTCTGGGGACTGTGATTTGGGGGGTAGGACCTCGAGTTTGGGGGGTGGGACCCCAAGTTTAGGGGGTGGGACCCTGATTTAGGGGGTGGGACCCCGAGTTTGGGGTCTGGAGACCCTCCCTGACCCCCCTATTCCATCCCTGAGCCCCCTTTCCCTCCCTTCCCGTGGGGCTGGGGCTGCCCTCCTTCAAACCGGGGGTACGCGCGGGGGACCCCGAGCTTGGGGGGGGGTGACCCCCACTTTGGGGTCTGACACCCTGAGTTTGGGGGGTGGTACCCCGAGTTTGGGGTCTGGGACCCAGAGTTTGGGGGGCGAGGATTCTGATTTGGGGTCTGGGGACTGTGATTTGGGGGGTAGGACCTCGAGTTTGGGGGGTGGGACCCCAAGTTTAGGGGGTGGGACCCTGATTTAGGGGGTGGGACCCCGAGTTTGGGGTCTGGAGACCCTCCCTGACCCCCCTATTCCATCCCTGAGCCCCCTTTCCCTCCCTTTCTGTGGGGCTGGGGCTGCCCTCCTTCAAACCGGGGGGGACCCCGAGACTGGGAGTGGGGACCCCCAATTTGGGGGGTGGGGACCTCGAGTTTGGGGGTGGGACCCCGAGTCTGGGGTCTGGGGACTGTGATTTGGGGGGTAGGACCCCGAGTTTGGGGGGTGGCACCCCGAGTTCAGGGGGTGGCACCCTGAGTGCAGGGCATGGGACCCCGAGTTTGGGGGGGTGGGACCCTGATTTGGGGGGTGGGACTTTGATTTTGGGGGGTGGGACCCCGACTTTGGGGTCTGGGAACTGATTTAGGGGTGGGACTGTGGTTTGAGGGGTGTGACCCCCAATTTGGGGGGTGGGGAGTCTGATTTGGGAAGTGGGACCCCGAGTTTGGGGGGTGGGACCCTGAGTTTGGATCCTGGGGACCCTCCCTGACCTCCCCATTCCCTGGTGGGCGTGTCCCGGTGGGCGTGTCCCGTGGGCGTGTCCCCATGGGCGTGTCCCTGTGGGTGTGTCCCCATGGGCGTGTCCATGTGCGCGTGTCCCAGTGGGCGTGTCCATGTGGGTGTGTCCCCATGGGCATGTCCCAGTGGGCGTGTCCCCATGGGCGTGTCCCTGTGGGTGTGTCCCCATGGGCGTGTCCATGTGGGTGTGTCCCCTGCATGTTGGGGCGTGGTTTGATGTGACCCCACCCCCTCCATTGCCCTTGGGGGTGGAGTCTTCCCACATGGGCGTGTCCTGTTGGGCGTGTCCGCAGTGTCCCTATTGTCCCCTCATGTCCCTGTGTCCCCAGTGTCCCCTCACATCCCCCATGTCCCCTGGGGTCTCCAGTGTCCCCTCACGTCCCCGTGTTCCCAGTGTCCCCGTGTCCCCTGACGTCCCGTGGGCGTGTCCCCATGGGCGTGTCCCTGTGGGTGTGTCCCCATGGGCGTGTCCATGTGGGTGTGTCCCCTGCATGTTGGGGCGTGGTTTGATGTGACCACACCCCCTCCATTGCCCTTGGGGGTGGAGTCTTCCCACATGGGCGTGTCCTGTTGGGCGTGTCCGCAGTGTCCCTATTGTCCCCTCATGTTCCTGGTGTCCCCATGTCCCCAGTGTCCTGGTGTCCCTTCATCGCCCTGTGTCCCCAGTGTCCCCTCACGTCCCGTGTGTCCCCAGGTGTCCTGTTGGGCGTGTCCGCAGTGTCCCTATTGTCCCCTCATGTCCCTGTGTCCCCAGTGTCCCCTCACATCCCCCATGTCCCCTGGGGTCTCCAGTGTCCCCTCACGTCCCCGTGTTCCCAGTGTCCCCGTGTCCCCTGACATTCCACAATGTCCCCGTGTCCCCTCACATTCCCCAATGTCCCCAATGTCCCTGTGTCCCCTCATGTCCCTGTGTCCTCAATGTCCCTGGTGTCCCCATGTCCCCTGACATCCCCTGACGTCCCTGTGTCCCCCGTGTCCCCTGGTGTCCCTGTGTCCCCTGGTGTCCCTGTGTCCCCCATGTTCCCGTGTCCCCTGTGTCCCCAATGTCCCTGATGCCCCGTGTCCCCCATGTCCCCGTGTTCCCTGACGTCCCCGTGTCCCCAGTGTCCCCCGTGTCCCCTGTGTCCCCGTGTCCCGGACGCCCCGTGTCCCCTCACGTCCCTGTGTCCCCCATGTCCCCATGTCCCCTGTGTCCCTGACGCCCCATGACCCCTGGTGTCCCCGTGTCCCTGACGCCCCGTGTCCCCGTGTCCCCTGGTGTCCCCGTGTCCCCCATGTCCCCGTGTCCCCTGGTGTCCCCGTGTCCCTGACGCCCCGTGTCCCGGTGCCGCAGCTGGCGGAGCAGTCCCTGATGAAGAGCGCCATCAAGACGTCGGAGGAGTCGTGGATCGAGCAGCAGATGCTGGAGGACAAGAAGCGCGCCACCGACTGGGAGGCCACCAACGAGGCCATCGAGGAGCAGGTGGCCCGCGAGTCCTACCTGCAGTGGCTGCGCGACCAGGAGAAGCAGGCGCGCCAGGTGGGCCGCGCGTCACCGTCCCTGTCACCATCCCTGTCACCGCGCGCGTCACCACCCGTGTCACCGTCCCTGTCACCGTCCCTGTCACCACGCGTGTCACCGCCCATGTCACCTTCCCTGTCACCACTGGTGTCACCATCCCTGTCACCGTCCCTGTCACCGTCCCTGTCACCGCGCGTGTCACCGTCCCTGTCACCGCGCGTGTCACCGTCCCTGTCACCGCGCGCGTCACCGTCCCTGTCACCGTCCATGTCACCACGCATGTCACCACCCGTGTCACCATCTGTGTCACCGTTCCTGTCACCGCGCGTGTCACCGTCCCTGTCACCGCGCGCGTCACCGTCCCTGTCACCGTCAATGTCACCACGCATGTCACCACCCGTGTCACCATCTGTGTCACCGTTCCTGTCACCACCCGTGTCACCACCCGTGTCACCGTCCCTGTCACTGCCAATGTCACCGTCCCTGTCACCGTCCCTGTCACCGTCCCTGTCACCACCCGTGTCACCACCCGTGTCACCGTCCCTGTCACCATCAATGTCACCGTCCCTGTCACCGTCCCTGTCACCGCCCGTGTCACCGCGCGTGTCACCGTCCCTGTCACCGCGCGTGTCACCGCGCGTGTCACCGTCCCGTCCCTGTCACTGCATGCGTCACCGTCCCTGTCACCGCGCATGTCACCGCCTGTGTCACCGTCCCTGTCACCACCAATGTCACCGTCCCTGTCACCGCGCATGTCACCGCCCGTGTCACCGCGCGTGTCACCGTCCCGTCCCTGTCACTGCATGCGTCACCGTCCCTGTCACCGTGCGGGTCACCGCGCGTGTCACCGTCCCGTCCCTGTCACTGCATGCGTCACCGTCCCTGTCACCGTGCGGGTCACCGCGCGTGTCACCGTCCCGTCCCTGTCACTGCATGCGTCACCGTCCCTGTCCCCGCGCGCGTCACCACCTGTGTCACCGCCCGTGTCACCGTCTGTGTCACCATCGGTGTCACCATCCCTGTCACCGCTTGTGTCACCGTTCCTGTCACCGTCCCTGTCACTGTCCCTGTCACCACCTGTGTCACCGCCTGTGTCACCTTCCCTGTCACCACTGGTGTCACCGTCCCTGTCACCACGCGTGTCACTGTCCCTGTCACCGCGCATGTCACCGCCTGTGTCACCATCCCTGTCACTGCCAATGTCACCGCCCCTGTCACCGCCCGTGTCACCATCCCTGTCACTGCGCGTGTTACCGTCCCTGTCACCGTCCCTGTCATCGTCCCTGTCACCACCCATGTCACTGTCCGTGTCACCATCCGTCTCCCTCAGAGCCCCTGGTGTCACTGCCCGTGTCACCATTGGTGTCACCATTGGTGTCACCATCCCTGTCACTGTCCCTGTCACTGCCCGTGTCACCATTGGTGTCACCATCAGTGTCACCATCCATGTCACTGCCATCCCTGCTGTCACCATCTGTGTCACTATCAGTGTCCCCGCCATCCCCTGGTGTCACCACCGATGTCCCCATCGGTGTCCCTGCTGTCCCCTGGTGTCCCTATGAGCCCTTGGTGTCACCACTGGTGTCCCCAGGAGCCCCCGGTGTCACCATCACTGTCCCTGCCATGGCCTGGTGTCCCCACTGGTGTCCCCATCGCTGTCCCTGCCACCCCCTGGTGTCCCCTGGTGTCCCCAACCCCAGTGTCATGGTGTTACCTTTGCCCCAAGAGTGACATCATCTGTTGTCCCCCTGCCCTGTGGTCACTCTGCGGTCACTCTGTGGTCACTGCTGTCCCCTACGGTCACTCTCTGGTCACGCTCTGGTCACTCTGATTACTCTGGTCACTCTGCTGACCCCAGTGGTCACTCTGGTCACTCTGTGGTCACTGTGGTCACTCTGAGGTCACTCTGCTGACCCCAGTGGTCACTCTGTGGTCACTCTCTGGTCACTCTGTGGCCATTCTGGTCACTCTGTGGTCACTCTGGTCACTCTGTGGTCACTCTGTGGTCACTCTGATCACTCTGAGGTCACTCTGATTACTCTGTGGTCACTCTGGTCACTCTGCTGACCCCAGTGGTCACTCTGGTCACTCTGTGGTCACTCTGGTCACTCTGATTCTCCCCACAGCCCCGCAAGGCCAGCGCCACGTGCAGCTCGGCCACGGCGGCGGCGGCCAGCGGCCTGGAGGAGTGGAGTGACCATTGACCCAAGTGGTCACTGTGGTCACTCTGTGGTCACTCTGTGGTCACTCTGGTCACTCTGTGCTCACTCTGAGGTCACTCTGTGGTCACTCTGGTCACTCTGTGCTCACTCTGAGGTCACTCTGTGGTCACTCTGGTCACTCTGTGCTCACTCTGAGGTCACTCTGTGGTCACTCTGGTCACTCTGGTCACTCTGGTTACTCTGTGGTCACTGTGGTCACTCTGTGGTCACTCTGATCACTCTGGTCACTCTGGTTACTCTGTGGTCACTGTGGTCACTCTGTGGTCACTCTGC